AACGCACACTCGAGCATGCAAAGACGTTTGAGGAAAGACGGAAAGTTGGGGGATTGGGGGCTAGGGGTGCTTACGAAAGAACAGGCAGAAAATGGCAAGGGCGCGTATTCGTTAATTGGCTGGAGTTGCTAAATGCGCTTATTTATCCACCTAACTGCGTGTGCGTGTGTGCGAGTATGTGTGTGTATGTGTGTGTGTGTGTGATTGACTGACTGACAAGCTGATAGACTGACTCAATTAGGTTTCAATAAGGTTAGCACAGAAGTAGAAATATCAGCGCAAATGGCTGACTTCCAATAGAGAACGCAGACAAAACGACAAAAGGCAATCATCAATTACACAATTGCGCACTATACTTTACACGCACACACACACACACACACGCACGAACACACACACACACGCACACAGAGGCACAATCACAAATAATAAGGAGCATCTGGGAAAAACGCTTGAAGCAGAAGCAGGTGGCGTCTTTTGTGTCTTTTGTGTGACTTTTGCGGCCGCTTTTCGCATTTTTCTTTTTCTCTCCATCCATTGTTCTATGTTTTCGTAAGTCCCTGACGTCACAGAAGGGGAGGGGGCAGGCGATACGAAGTGAGCCGAACTTATTAAATTGACATGCTTTTGACACCCTGCAGCTCGAAACGCAGCAGCTCGTTCAAAATTTGTAAAACTGATGGAATTATACGCGTATGCCTTATAGCCTATTCAAAACTGCATAAGAGGGAACAATACAATGTTGAGTCAAGGGCACAGCTACAGAGTGAAAATTTAAAAATGCAAGCCTTGTAGTCTCACAGCTCAGTTTGGTCCTCGCACTCAATAACAGTAGCTGGCATTTGTATGTGTTTCCCTCACAGTCAATTGGCCTTCCTTCAATACAACTTCGCAGCTCCTCCTATTATATATGTAGTTCCCAATCCGTTTTATGAATTTCTTACACTGACTATACCGAGTGTAACAGGGAGAAAGAAGCATCTCCAACCCAATCAAATATAAATATACTCTTAATCAGCGGGATAAAAGATTTTGATTTAGAAATGTGCGTCCGTCTGTCTGGATGAACGCCTGCATTTCTGAAATGGTTGAGCCCATATTGACCAAACTTGATTTTTAGGCTCGCCTTAGCTTATTTTATTTGTAAGTTGTAGGAACATCAGCTGAGCTGGGCTATTTTTTTTATGTTGTGCTATTTAGCACAATCTAGCAGAATCGGTTATGTGTTTACAATACACCACATATGTATATATATCTTATATGGGATCACTTTGAATTTCTAGAATATACTTCGACCTCATATCGCATTCTTCCTCTTCAAGCTTTAGGAGTTTACGAAAACCCATTCGCAGACAAACGTAAAAAACAAACACTATTGTGATTAGGCACGAAACTTATGCCTTTTGGTGTAGTAGGGAGTAGTGTTTTATTTGGCGGAATGCGGGAGGAAAGGCGTGCACCTTTTTGTGCTGCAAACCGCCGCCATCAGCAACATCATCATAGTCATCATCATAATCAACGTCAAGTGGCGGAAAATATATTCATGAAATTTATGTGCTACACAAATGAAATTTATTTTAAATGAGGCCGGGACCTTCGAGGCTCGCAACAGGAGGAGCAGAGGCAGCTGATTAAAAGCCAAGCCGGCGACCAACTATATTTACACAGAACCAACAGCATCGCACAGACACAGGCACACACACACACATACACACACACACACACACTCACACATACCTAAATGCATACACCTGTAGATCACCCACTGCATTTGAAAGAAGTCTGTGATTAACTTTTCAGATGGCCAGCACCACCAACATCTGCAGCACAATTCAGGGCCGTGGAGCGAGGTCACATGCACAGGCATGAGGTGCATGTTTTAGAAAAAAGCCACGCCGCGCCACGCCACGCTCTTTCGTATACGAGTGGCAGAAATCATTTGCGTTTTAAATATGGAATTAGTTTCGTGCATAAATTCCGTGCGCTGGGCATGCCCCTGGGTCCGCAGCGCAGCCCTGACACTACTGGTTTTGCATTTAGTGCTAATCCTCTTTGCTCTTTGCCTGCAATGGCCCCCATGGGTATGTTCTCCCTTTACACTCTAATGCCGGGGGTGGTCCACGGGAGGTCCACGGGCGGTCCACTCGCAGGTGGTCCCACATCAAAAGTGCACCTCATATGCGTCCGCTGTTCATCCGTGTCAGCGAGTACTCGTATGACACCAAAGTACATACACATACACCACATAGGGCTCTCAGACACCAGGACTATTTCGCACTCACATAATGTTCAATATTTTCTTAAGACACTTGGAACAATCCACGGTCCCAGTTTTCGTCGCTCTAGCATTCGCGGCAGGTCGGCTTAAAAGCCCTAAAGGGCAGTACTTAATGACTGCGATCAACTCGCTGGGCTCCGAATTATGATCGGTCAAAAGGCCACCAGTCGACATATGTACGTCTAAATTGGAAACCTCATAAGCACGCGGAGGTGGCCAGACTGGCGTTATATAAGATATCTGGGACACGATCAGAAGACGCACAATGACATATTTCTGTGTGAACGTTCGCAAAGGTAGGAGTTGTGTTACACTCTGTACCTGGAATGCTAGAGTCGACCCAAAACTTGACAACAGTCAACGGTTGCGCAGAGTCGGCTTTGGTCGAGCTAGTAGTATGTGCTAGGAGTGGAGGAACCCAATCCCTATAGTTGGAGCTTACTCGTTTGCTAATATAAGTAGCTCTGTCTCCTGTGTATACAGATATCACAAACTGTAACAAGAACACACATTTTTCTTATACTTTAAGCTGCAGCTTAAAAAAATGAAAAGTGAAATTGGCATATGCACCGGGGTTTTTTTTTTGTAGTTACTTAGCGCCTGCGATGTGCAAACTACCTTCCTTCCTAGCCTTTGGGGGGAAACAAAAACTAGAATGGAATGCTAAAGTCGGGCGGGCTGAATTTTTAAATACCATGTATCCACTCCCACGAAAACACACTTTTTAAATCTTTTTAGTTACTTTTTTTTCAATTAAATAAATATAAAATGAATAAAATCAAAAATGCATACAGTCGTACAGTTTTTAAAAATATACATTTGCCCCAATATTGTGTCTATGCGGGACTCTGTGTTCGTGTATGTGTGCAGTCCAGAGTTGGGACAAAGCAGCAGCAACAACAACAGCTGCTGGCAGAGCATGGACAGATATTACATGAGAGTATGGGCTTAACTTCCTTTACATTTGACCAATGAGGACACATAAGCACTAAAGGCATGTAATTGCCATTGAGTTGCAAATTTTAGGAATTGAGGGAGTTATGGAAAAGGAAAAAACAAACACAAAAACTCGTTCTTTCTCGGACTCTGGAGCATCTGGGTACCAAGCTTGGTTTTTCTACCTTTTTTCAAAAATCCTTTATACAGACGTATTGACGAATGGGATTATATCTGCTTCACTTTTCACCCTGATCAAGAATATATGCAATTTGTGGGGTTTTTTCACGCCTCCTTCTATGTGTTACATACATTCGCACATAACTAGTATACACTTTTATAGGGTACAAAAGAAAGCATGCATATGTACTTTTAAAAACCGTTTTCACAAATTGTAGCTTCCATGAATGTTATTTCGATAGTTGGTAGGCAGGCTTTAAAAGCATAAATTTCGATAGTTCATGGAAACGATTGAATAAATCGATCAATATTGAATTTATTAAAAAGCAGTGGGTTGTATGCAAGAAAAGCACTTAGAATTGTAACGGGAATTTGTTTACAAAGCCCTAAGACATAACAAGTGGTTTTATTACAATAAAATATGGCCTTAGTTATCTGGGATAGTAAGTATTTGAAGTAACACAAAACATTTATTTTTGGTGTGGGGTTTTCAAATTTCACATTTACACTCAGTTTTATGACTTTAATGAAGTTTATGGCGCTCTTATTGTTTAAAACGTGTTTGCAACAGTTTAATGTGCAGCTTTAAATGAAATATCTTTATTTTTTTCTTCCTTTTTTTCATTCTACTGTATACTTGGTCCAAATGCCCTCGGCACTCAAGAGTTGTAAAGACTCTGTAAAGCTCTTGGCCTTTGTGTTATGAGAATTCAACTTAAAGTTTTTGGTCGTTATTGCAGACTCAAAGAAAGTCTTTGCGCACACACACACACAATAAATAATATATATACATATATAGTATATATATTTGAATTTGTGGCCACAATTCAAGCTAATTTCAATTATACATGCGGTCGCTGTCTAGTTACGTGCCCGGAGCCAGCAATGCTTGCGGCTGTTTAACATCTTAAGTTTATCATTTCTGGCAGCATCTTTGGCCAAGAGCTTATGGTTTTTATGCCATTATTTTGTTGTTATTTTTTTTGTGTGTGTTACTGTTGTAACATTATCCTTGAAAGGGACTTTAAAGCCAAGGTTGGAGGGCATTGAGAATGAAATACGGCTTGCTGTCTGGCCTGCTTGGCTGCCTGAGAAGCAAAACAAAAGCAGAAAGAGCAGATGCGTAAATGTTTCGCATAGCTAGCAGTGTGTTGGTGGACAAGCTAGACAGGATGAGTGTATGTGTGTGTGTGTGTGTGTGTGCGGGTGTGTGAGTAAGTATGCTATGTCAAAAATGTGCATTTGCACGAGAGGGAGCAATTTAAATTAAATTCCAACAGCAATTCAATCAAATATTTTGCAATCAGTGTGCATGTTAAACTCATAATTAAACTACCAGCTCACACATACACACACACACACACACACACACACACACACACGCACGCACACTCAAGGATATAGACACAAAAAGCCACACAGATACTTGTACACACAAACACAGTGGCCCATGTGGAGCTTAACGCTTGAAGGCCTGTGGCATGCCATCACCATGTGCTGTTTGATTCATTAGCAACAAAAATGTATTTAATTGAACTTTACATTACACTTCACACCCTCCATCAATGCGCCACTCTATCAATCGGATGTGTCTCTATCCCCGCAGCCGACGTCATGGTCAACGACAGTCCCGTTCATTTGACACTCTGTGATACCGCCGGACAGGACACATTGGATCCACTCCGCGAGCTCTGCTACCCGGACAGCGATGTCTTTCTGCTCTGCTTCTCGGTGGTCAAGCCGGAAACGTTTGACGCCATCAAAGCCAAATGGGCGCCCAAGTTTGCCAAAAGCAAGGCGGCCCTTGTATTGGTGGGCACTCAGGCCGATCTGCGCTCCAATCTCAATGTGCTCAACAAATTGCAGGTGAGTGCTGTTTTTTGTTTACTATTGACTGATTTGTTCACCCATTTCGTAGCTTAGTCGGATTTTTTCCCTTCCTAATGCAAAGCAGAAATATAGTACACTGGCGATTATTCCAGTAGAAGCGACTCAGACGTTTTGACTAAACACATAACCATAGACAAGAATTATAAGTGTTCGTATACATCCATAATATATACTTGTATACCATATATCTCCCCTCTATCGAATATCACTATTCAAACAATTGGATTACCTACTTCAAGTATAGTGCAAGTTCTAGTTTCATTTGCACCAATTACCAATACGGTTATTGTATATATAATACAAGTATATCTGTTATTGTTCCGGAAAGAAAAACAGTCTCTGCCGAATGGAATTTTGACGCAGGTTATCGTACAAAATCTTAGTTGATTGTTCCAGTAATTTTTGCCAAATAATTTTGGTAATTTAAAATATATTCATGCCATTTTCTATACATCTACTTAGCTTTTAAATATATAAACAAAATAGATCCGTTTTAATCAGATAATGTTACAAAGATATATAATCTAAGTTATGCAGAACGAAAAAGCTTCGTAATAATAGCATGAAAGGAATGCTAAAGTCGAGCAGGTCAACTCTTAAATACACTGTACTGTAAAAAAGAAAACAAAATTTAAAAAATAAATTAAAAAGGTATTTACAAAAAATAAATTAAATAGATAAATTTAATTAAATTAAAAATATTCAATTCATTCAATAAGTGGAGACATAATCAGTAACTGGAAGTAATTACCAAATTTGAGTTCAAAGTAATGGGGGGATGGGATGATGTATCAGAAGAAATGAACAAACTTATTGGAGAATCTGGATATTAAGTTTGGTTATTCTAGCTCTTAAACTTTCTGAGATCCTTGCGTTCGTGCAGACAAACGGACAAAGAGACATGGCTATATCGACTCGTCTTGCCAAACTGATCAATAGCTTTAGGGGGTCTGCCACGCCTTCTTTTGTGTGTTACATACATTCGCACAAAAAATGTATACCCTTTTCCCCTTCAGTGTGCAGGGTATACAAATCTGTATCTACAGCTGTGAAAGGGGAAAATTGGGTATCCTTACACTCAGGGTAAATGGGGACGATCCGATCGGCATGTATGTTCTGGAGATCAGACTATTCAGACAGACTATAATTTCTAAAACGGAAAGCCTGTGCATGATGAAGGGATTTAGGGACCTTAGTGATATGGCCTGTGGCCGAAGCTTTTTTGTTTGTTACAGCTGATCGCCAGTGTACATAGGTATTTGTCTGCCCGATTCACATATGTACATATATAAACTATATACTATATAGTATATAAATATTTATATATGTATGTATACCTTCTATTGTGCTGCCATCCTGAGTTCTGGCTGCCCTTGGCGCTTTGTTTTTTATTTCTCCTTTATTGTTGCTGCTTTGTTGTTCAAATATTTATGAAATTCGTATTTGATTCCATATGCCTGCCGGCTGACGCGCATCCCACCAACACCAACAACAACAACAACACACACCTGCCAACCATCCACCGATGTTGGACCAACCTGCGCCCCAACCACACATTCAACGTCCATTTACCGGCTTACGTTCCGCACATATATCTTTATATGTATATATATGGATGTGTACATATATGTGTGGACAGACAAATGGCGAGAAACCAATTTCGTATGCAGATGCCTGGGATTTGGCAACAACAATTGGCGCCAAATACATCGAGACTTCGTCAGTCACGCAGGTGAGTTGAGTTCTGTTCAGCTGAGTGTTCGGTTGCAGTGAGCCGTTAAATTTATGTACGAATGTGGTGCCATCATATTAATTAAGGCGACTCACACCCACATACATACATACATGCCTATGTACACTTGCCACATGCCACACGCTTACTTAAATATAAGTATGCGTATATATTATACGAGTACACAGTATGTAAGTATGTATGTGCACCTCTACCCCTGCCCCCCCAGAAGTCATTGCACCGGAAACAAAGCGCGACTCGCTAAGCCCAAAGGCTTTCTCTGCCTGCACGAGCGAGGACTGTACGATAGATATCTATCTCTGCAATGGGTTCTCGAAACTATCAATTATCCTTAAAGCTAATGATTGTGTAAAATAAACCAAAGCTTTAAAAAGTTTATAAATTTTATTAATTTTCTTCAGAATTGTATTTTTTGTTTATTGCGATATATCGCAACTACAAGTACAATTTATGATTGTGAGCTAGTTTTTTTTAAATATTATAAGTCATTTGAATCGGAGCACTGGTTACTCGCATATTATAGGCATAGCTTTTACAGTTTATATTATGTGTCGATTGTTTTTGTTTTTCTTTACGTTATCTTTAAAATACGGATAATTTGCTCCTATTTAATTCTGTTCTGGTTCCCGTTTCCAATCAAATCATCATTTTAAACAGTATTAGTTATTTAAATCGGACCACTAGATACTCGCATATTATAGCCATAGCTTTTACAGTTTATATTATGTGTCGATGGTTTTTGAATTCCTTGGGCTATCTTTAAAATAGGTATAATTTGGTCCCATTTAATTATGTTGCGAAATCCACAGTACTTAGTAGTTTTAATCATTATCCCATCATTATCCCGTGGAACCTATTATCCCAAACCGGGATAGTTCCGGCTCACCGAAAAGTGTATTGGCATTAAAGAAAACGCAATTCGATCATATGATTGTTATAAGTCTTGGAATGAATCCTCGTTTGTATATATCAGTAGCCTGCATTATCTATTGGCTGATTTGATGGCTTTTTGAAATATTGCTCGGACGCCAATAACAGGAAATTAGGATCTGCAAGTTTCTAGATCTCCAGCAGCTGTGGAAAGATTGTAAAGTATTAGAATTTGTTATACTTGTAATAAATAAATGAATTGTCAGCCCGTAAGTGCGATTCCTAGTACACATAAGTGGTCTTTATTCTCATTTTTAAACTATTTTAATAGCATTATAGTATATTCCAATGTGCTTTTGTGTGACCATTGTTAATTGCCTTTCAAACTTGAGCAAGGCTGAGAGGTGGAAAGCATTTATTTAGAAAGAGTTTGACAAACAGCCCTCGTGTTGCTGTCTGTGCCGACTTTGTGCAAACACTTGAAAGCTAAATTCTTACCGCACCAACAACAAGCACTCGGGCGCGCACACAATTTAGGGCCCCAGCGCTGCGACTTGTTCTGTGGCCCTAAGTGCTGTTGTTAGGCCCAAGCCCAAGCCCAGCAAGTGCCAGCTTCCTCTGCTCCTGTCTTCTGTCTCCTGTCTGTTTGTTGTACTTCCAGAGCGGAGCTACGACAGTAATCATAATTGCGCGGTTTTCGGCACATCCACCCACCCGTGCACTAAAAGAAGCATGCACTTGAGAAGAAAGCGAATCAGAAGCAGAAGCAAAAGTAGAGGCTGACGCACGAGAAACTGCAAATGTATTGCAACTTTTGCCTCAACACTTCCAAATGGAAGCTCGCCTGCTGCCCCTCCTTGCCTTTTGGCCCAGACGTGCATTGCACTTGGCGCGCATTTTCCCCAAAGGTAGCGCGCTTCTAACGGTTCACTGAATAATCGCAAAAGTTGACGGGAAAAAAGTACGACACTGTAAAAGCAGAAGAGCGCCAGCCGGGAATAAAAAGCATTTTTTAGTCGACCATCCACTTCGGTTGCCCAAAATCCCAAAATGACAACTCGCCGCTTCTGACAGTGTGCATTGGACTGGATTAAAAGTTGACTGGACTATTGAAATGCACTGAAGGATTAGGTGGATTTAATCATATCATATGCTCGTAGTCGCTTTTCAACGCTTGTCACCAAATAGCTAACGAGCTCAAAAATCTAAATGGCGTTCCGCCCGAAAAGCCATTGAGCCACATTCGACAATTCACTTTTCCACTGCCATTCATTTATTTGGATATTGGTTCGCTATTTTGAAATCCTTTTAGCAACCAATACTACAATCCAGCTCCTGATTTAATAGTAGGCTTCCTCGTAACTACGTTATCAAAATAAATTTGATTAGTTGCTCAGAATAAGTAAAACCAGTAAAACTTACTTTATCAAAAAGAGAAAACTCTCTCATTTTCGATTTTGAATTTTCAAAAAGTTTCCAGTCATTTATTTATTTATTTTTATTTATAAACTATTCTAGCGTTACAAGTACCAGATTACCTTCATTATATATTTATTTCTAATTTAAATCAGTTTAATTTATTACAAAGATTAATTTTAATTTTTTTAGTTTTTAATATATTTTCCTTTGCTTTAATTATTATTGTTTTTATAAATATTATTATTTTTGTTTTCTTAAATCTGCCATGGCTTGATATTGTTGCCCCTTCAACTGGCAAGGAAACACGATCCACTATCTATATTAAACGTCATTTGAATATTTTGCTAATAGTTGTTCCGTTTTCTCTTCCACACAGGACAAAGTCAAGGAGGTATTTGACACGGCTATTTGGGAGGGTTTGGTGCCGACCACGTTGCCCCCCACACCTTCGTTTTGGAAGAAGCTCTTCTGCTTGGCCTGAGCATCTGAAAAGAATGAACATTTCAAACATTTTGTAGTCTTCAGATGCTTATGTTAATTCCTACGTATATGGATGTACATGGATGCATCAGTACATTTTAATGCGTTTTTTAAATATATTCTATTTGTTTAGCTGTGCTTTAATTTAATGCACACGCACTGACTGATCTTTAGGTATTAATTAAAACAGTTGAAAAAAAAAACAACCAACAAATTAAAAAACAATACAGACATTTAAGGCAATTTTCAATTAATGTAAATTCAGTAAGCACTACAATACTATTTAAAACATTTGCCTAATTATACACACATGCGATATATATTTTTTATTAATAATATAGATACAAACAGCTGTATGTACATGTAGTTTATGGGCTGAAGTGGGCAGCGACGTTTCAATTTATTTTTTAACAACGCGTTTTTTTCTCTATTTGTTAAATGCTAGTTGTATTGTGCTGATAATTATTGTAATTATTTAGGTAATATAAGTATAAGTATTTAACTACTTTCGTACACATACGCACAAACAAATTTACTATATTTTGTCATCATTCCATCCATTTAACCATTAAGTGCTTTTTTTTTTAAATGATATTAAAGCGAACAAAAAGTATGCAAAGAAATTGTGCAAAATTTGTTGTTGTTGTTGCTGTTTTTTCCTCAGAGTCGGCTTAAGCTGGCACTCATTGTGTTGCATACTTTTGGGAGCTGCGACAAAATGCCTTTCAGTGGAGCAGAGTTGCCTCCATCGCGCGTTTTTCAACATTTTATTAAATAAATCATAAAGCTCACAGCATAACAATTTCTCGTTGAACTTCATTGGCAAAGTAAGTACCGTCTGTGAACATTTTTTAGAAGGGACGGCTTCAGTGTGCCATCATACTACAGTGAAAACTCTCTTGGCCAGACACTCACCACACTGTCCGTCCAAAGGGGATACTGAAATACTTGGTACATCGAACAAATGCTGTCCGTCTAAGCGGGGTCTCCGGATACAAGAGTTGTCATCAAGAGAGTTTTCACTGTAGTTAAGCAGACAAATAGCACAAAGTTGCTGAATTAACACACATTCTCAGTGAACGATAGGAACTAAATAGTAGCCAAACCCTCTTGGACATAACAGATCATTTCTCCAGCATCCGTTATTTTAGATCGTTTGGACGAATTGCGGAATCCCGGAGCCATTTGTTCTATCCGTGAAGCGTATTCTGGTCGTTATTTGCAATTTTTTTTAAAGAAACAACAATGTGGCACAGCGAATGATTCTTCTTCATTCTCAATAATAGTATAATAAAAGCTGCTTTCTACCATTCTAGCATACCAACTCGAGTGAGCCCATTCTGAGTTTAAGACGGCCCCTAGCATCGGCTCTGAAACTTTTTCTATTGAATTCTGTTTGCATTTTTAGACGTTTAGCCAAAGCTGTAGAATAGAATAGAACAGAATAGAATAGAATAGAATAGCATAAAATAGAATAGCATAAAATAGAATAGCATAAAATAGAATAGAATAGAGAGTATAAAGGAGAGTAGAATAGAGAGTATAATACAGAATGGAATACAGAGTAAAATACAGAGTAGAATACAGAATAGAATAGAGAATAGAATAGAGAGTATAATACAGAGTAGAATATAGAGTAGACTAGAGATTGGAATACAGAATTGAATACAGAGTATAATAGAGAGTAGAATACAGAATAGAATAGAGAATAGAATAGAGAGTAGAATATAAAATAGAATACAGAACAGAATACTGAGTAGAATACAGAGTAGAATAAATATTGGATTACAGGGTAGAATAGAGAGTAGAATAGAGAGTAGATTAGAGAGTAGAATACAGAGTAGATTAGAGAGAGTAGAATACAGAATAGAAAACAGAATAGAATAGAGAATAGAATATAGAGTAGAATAGAATAGAGAATAGAATGCAGAATAGAATAGAATTGTGAGGGCAAGATTAGAATTGGTGGCAAAAGAGGTCTGTTATCTTTCGAATTGGATCACAGCCGACACCCTACAACCAACGTTCTGTTTACTTTGAATAGTATCCGGTACACATCAGTACCGGTTTGATTTAAATTCCAAGCCATTCGAGCAAATACGCGCAAGTGCAATTGGAAAGACGGTTTTTAAAAATGGTATTTTTGAGAATGGTAAATAAATAATATAATATCGCTTGGTCTTGAACTGAGCTGTAGTCTCGGGCATTTAAGTTGTGTTAAGGGGGAGGTTCCGTCATCCTCAGCTCGTTTATCACTAACTACTACAACAATAGCAGCAATAATTTGCATGCCTAATGCCATAAATTTGGAGAGAACAAAATTACAACAAAAACAACGAAACGACGTGGACGTCGGCAGCCGCCTAATGCGCGCGCTCGCCTCGCAAGAGCAAAATCAACAAAAACAACATTAGAGCCGAGTTTGGCAAAGCAAACAAAACCGCAGCAGCATCAGCAGCAACGTTTAACAAAAACAAAAGCGCACGCAGCTCAAGTCAAACGCACACACTTAAACACATACTCGAACACACACATATATACATATATATGTATGTATATAGTGCATACATACATCAAAGCCACCCAGAAAACTTAAGCGAAAAGTTAAGTAGAACTTGTCAAGTTTTTTGTACCACCCTATGGACGCGTGTGTGTGTGTGTGCGTGTGTGCGTGTGTGTGTGTGCGTGTGTGTGTGCGTCAAGAAGTAAAATGAGTTTAGTGCGGCTACGTCATTCATTGCAGCAGCAGTTGCTGCTGTTGCAGCTGTTGTTGTTGCTTTTGGCGCTGATGCTGTCATGTTGCGTTGGTTGCTGCAACAGTTTCCCCATCAAGTGTTTTGTTGACGTTGATGTCTTGATTGCAGCAGCACACAGTTGCAGCAACAACAAGAACAACAGCAACTTAGGAGCCAACGGTAGACTTACCGCGGACGCTTGGCAGCTCAACTGACAAGCAGACAGATCGCACTGACGGCCAGAGAAATCCTGTTTCGGAGAGAGAGAGGAGACGGACAGGCGTCTCTGACCTGGCCCTGCAACTATTTAAAGTAAAAGGCAATAAAATTGAAATATTAATGCCGGGCAAACAGTTAACGACTATGGCGACAGCAGCAGGAAAAACAACAGAAACTGTGGAGGCGACGCCACGGCGGTCGCAAGTGCCGGCTGACAGACAAGTGCAGTGTAAACATTTCCACATTGTCTGCTAAGAAAATGCAAAAGCTGATGACGACATCAACAACACAGCATAAGCAGCAAGAGGAGCAGCAGCTGCAGTAAAAGTTGCAGTAAAAGTAACAGCAGCAACAATAATAGCAGCACTGCAGCAGCTCTAATAATAGCAGCAACAGCAAAAGTGTCCTTAACTTTTGACTGGCGCAAGCAAGTGGAGGAATCCTGAAATCCAAATTGAATTTCAGCAAACAATAGTCGAGGAATTAAGCGCTTAGGTTTTTCTAATTTGGTTCGCCCCGAACCCAAATTGCCTCTGAAGCTGGCTTTTAAAAGGAATGAGAGGAATACAAGTATGTACATATATACTATACTTATAATTTATTTGCATATCAAATCTTATTCAAATTATTATGGGATGTGAAATCAACATACGAACAGTAAGAACAAGCGATAGCTCCGTGGCCTTAAGCTAATGGCTATTTATTTAAATATTTTTCATTGTAAAATAAACAAGAAAGGAATGCTAAAGTCGAGCAGGCTCAACTCTTAAATACCCTGTACCACCCCACAAAAAATTAATTAAATTAATTTTATTAAATTAATTAATTTAATTTATTTCATTAATTAATTTAATTTAATTAATTAACTAAATTAATTTAATTAATTAACTAAATTAATTTAATTAATTAACTAAATTAAATATAAAATATTCCATGCATGCATAGATACATTTACATTTACATCAGAATCGTGCCTTATGCGTGTTTGTGTACTTGTACATATGTATGTATGTGTGCATTGGGCCTGGTTATATGGCTATAACTTTCTTTCCGATCATTCTATCATAATGAAACTTGGTATACGGATATATAATTACTAACCTAATGTGACTACCAAATTTTAGTTCAAAATTCCAAGAATTACGGGAGGTATAGAAAATCAGTAATAGGGGGGGAGTGGGGGGGCGGATCAGAAAAAATTAACAAACTCGTCCTTTCTCGGTCTCAGGAGAATCTGTATACCAAGTTTGGTTATTCTAGCTCTTATACTTTCGGAGATCCTTGCGTTCATACAGACAGACAGACGGACAGACAGACGGACAGACAGACGGACAGACAGACGGACAGACGGACATGGCTATATCGACTCGGCTTGTCATGCTGATCAAGAATATATATACTTTGTGGGGTCTACCAAGCCTCCTTCTGTGTGTTCCATGTGCACTCGCACAAAACTAATATACCCTTGTACCCTTTGGGTACAGGGTATAAAAATGTAGCTCTGTTCTCTAAGGCCTTCAAAGCTATACGAAGCTGTGTGCAGTCCTATATCATTTCTGATTGTGAGTATTATCAATTATTTCGGTTTGAGTTTTCTTCAGTACAGTTTCTGGTCCACAAGGTTTATCGGCAGTAAATAAATGCCAGTTGGATATTTGGTTCAACATGTTAGTGTCAAGTCAAAGGGCCTCTGAAGCTACCTTTTATAAGGCATGAAAGGAATAATATAAAAATTTGTTGTGCATCAAATCTTATTCTACCTTATTTTATTTATTGTAAAATTAAAAATATAGCTCTGTTTCTTATGGCCTTCGAAGCTTCGTATACAATTAGGTGCGAAACTGTGTGCAGTCCCTTATCTTTTCTGATTATTATCAATATTATCTATGGCTTGAAGTGACGCCAACGCATCAGAACATATAACATCTTTCCCGTTCTGTTTCATATAATCTGCATTGCTTCATGAATAGCAATATTTTGAAGAATGGAGCTTGAAGACACATTTTACAGCAATTTCACATTCCTGTTGTGGTGCAAGAAATGTAATACTTATGTGCATAAGAGCTATTTAGTAAATTAGTTTCGTAATCATTTTATTAGTGTGAATCTTCCAACGCAATAAGTGCAATAAACAATTCAAGTCCTGGAGGTAATTAATGTTTTTCTTGCTAGCAAGGGATGCAGTTTTTGTAAGTATTTAATACCAGTAAAGTATTTATTTTTGCTGCACAATTAGGAGTAGTTTACATTTTTTTAAAGATAAAGCATTTTCGAAACCTGTATTTATTTTATTATCACGATGCGCTGGTTGCCGCCCTAGGATATTGTTATAGAAAAGGGCGGCGGGAAGATGTTAGGCTTAGGATGTAAGGGTATTTTTAAACATAGATATTGAGTGCAGTGTTAAGACAAGAATGTAAGCTCAGTGGTGATCCAAGTGTGAAGTTCAGTCGACCGTTTTCTAGCCACCGAAAAAAAAAATAAAAAATAAAATAAACCTTTGTCAAAAACAAATAGCTGCGCGCACCCTGGCTTATCAAGGATACTACGGCAAGAATTTTGGGTAGCTTTGCAGCCGATATTTGTGTGTGTCCAGCTTACAC